TCTTATTGTAATATAATAATCGTTATACTATAAAAATAGCTTTGAGCTATATATTGACGTAGTTATGAACAAATTTTATCAATTGAATTTGTATAATGTAGGTATTTATATTTTTTTAGATGGCACAAAAGCAGACAGATAGTGAGCATATTAGGCAACTTTTACTCCAGAGTTGACTCCAGAACGGGACCCATACAGTGATGATGGCGAATATGCATAGGATCAAGAATTTCAACCTAATTATGATGATATGTCGAGCTCAGATGTGGAGTCTACAGAGACAATAAAAATTCCAAGAAATATGATGACAACAGAGTTTAGCGGATCTAGTGATACTCTAGTGTCAGATGGTGAAGTAGAAGTAAGAATCCACTCAACTTTAACTGTCCCTGTGGAGCAGCCGTGCACTTCAGATCAAATTATAAACACAACTAACGACGATATAGGGGATGATAATGCCAGGGCAAACAGCCCATCTATACTAATGTGCCATGAACAATTCGATGATGCATCTGATGTACACGAAATATCGTGTGAAAATTCTCAAAATGACACTGACGAGTGGGTGGACGTTACCGCCGAGATCCCCCTTTTTCATTTTGATTACGCATCTGAAGGACTCAAAGTAGAAATACCTGATAATGCTCAACCTTTAGATATTTTCAAATTAATATTTTCTAACGATCTTTTGGATTTTGTTGTGTCTAGAACAAATGCTTACGGAAATAATTTGACGAATACAACCAGACCTCATACTCGACATAGTAGAAAATGTTCTTTCCGTGATGTAACCAAAGAAGAAATGTTAGCTTTCTTGGGGCTTTGCTTATTACAAGGCCAAATTAAAATTCCAAAGAGGCGAAAACTCTTCTCATATTCCGATCCTTTGAATTTCCACCCGATATTTTCTTATGTGATGTCATCTAGAAGATTTGATCAAATATTACGAGCCATTTATGTATCAGATATTGAGGCAAAAAGCAAGAAGAAGATAACTGGTTTTATTGAAGCTCTATCTGAGAACTTTCGTCGTGTATATGGTCCTGGCAAAGAATTATCGTTAGATGAATCTCTAGTTTTATACAGGGGTAGACTATATTTCAGGCAGTACATAAAATCTAAGAAGGCTCGTTATGGTATAAAATTTTATATCCTAACCAGTGCAAAAGGGATATGTTCTGAATATTATTATGTATTGTGGTAAGGGCGAAGATGATAATACGTATGGGAAGAAAACCGAACAAATAGTTATGAAACTGCTGAAACCATACTTGATGAAAGGTCATCACGTATTCATGGATAATTTTTATAATGATGTCGATTTGAGTCAGAAATTACTAGAGTTGCGTACCCACACCAATGGCACACTTCGTAGAAACAGAAAGACAAACCCTAAGGGGCTGACACAGATAAAACTAAAAAAGGGTGATTTTTTTTGGTGTCGTAAAAAGCAAGTTTACGTATCAGCGTGGTATGATAAGCGTCCAGTTTACGTTATAACTACCAGAAATCACCCTAAGCTAATAAATATTTCAAACCGATTTGGAAAAATTTCACAAAAGCCTGAAGAGGTTTCAGAATATAATAAATATATGGGAGGAATAGATAGGAAAGACCAAATGGTTGCATATTACTCCTCGCCACAGAAAACAATTCGATGGTATAAGAAAGTATTCTTTCATCTCTTAGATATATCTGTTTGGAATTCTTTCTTTGTCTACAAAAAATACTTTAAAAACGATGTAAAATACGAATTTCTGGACTATCGCGAAGATTTAATAAGACAAATGATAAACTTAGAGAGTGGTTGTTCTGGTAGAAACATTATAAGAACTGGTAGCGTATATTCCAGTCGACGAACTGCAGTTAGAACTCCAAAAAAGGTACTTCAACAGGAAAAATTGGTAAGCATTAGGCAGGATCACTGGCCAGAAGATATTCCGTGCTCAACTGATTCCAAGAGGAATTTTAAATATTTGAACTGTAGCCTTTGCACTAAAAAGAAAAAACGCAAAGAGACAAGATACAGGTGCAAGGGATGCCGAGAAAAAACTCCCTTATGCCCTACATGTTTTAAGGAATGGCACGCCAAATATGTTAAGAGGGGAGATATATAAAATGAAGCTATTATTCTAAGAAAGTGTTGATTTATACACATATTTTTTAAATTTTTAAAGAGATATTTTTTTTTGTATTTAAAATAATAAGAACTGGAGTAAGTTCTTAGGTACTAATTAATAGGCTGTGATTAATTATAATAGATATTTCTGTTTTATTTTATTTAAAATACTTAAGAACTGGAGTAAGTTCCTACTTATTACTAAGCTGTAATTGATTTTATAATAAATATTTCCTACGAATGCTGACTTTTATTTTTAAACTGCTATAGCCGTACTGTTATCATGCAATGCATATTCCCATATATTACACGGCAGTACGGCCTTAGCCGTATTACGGTTATAACCGTACTGCCCTCAGGAATACCTTTTTTATTATGTGTTACGACAGTACGGTTATAACAGTGTCCCTAAAATGTATAGAAAATTTTAGTGATTTTTTATGAAACAATCAGTTAAATTACCGGCCACGAACGTGTTAAACACCATTATGCTTAAAAAAATTCACATCACTTTTTGGAATTGTAACATTCTATCTGTTTAAATAGTAATGACATAAAATAATCCAACACCTTATTCTGTTCCATATAGCCCATCACTAAACCCAAAATATTGACAAAGACAATATAATAAACACCAAACATTAATTAATGAAAATGCTTCTGCCAAGCATAGAAAGCATGGTAAATTCCCACTTCAATAATTATAATGAAAGTTATAATTGGTTAACTATATTACTTATATAATATTAGCTTATAAGTTATACCTTATTACCTCCGACTAATCCTTCAAACCAATAGCTCCATCCATTATGTTTAAATGTATCTTTGTATAAATTGACTTTTCTAAGTTGTATAACCATAGTAGTATTATGCACCTAAGTATATAGAACATATTATTATTTATTTGAAATTTTAGTAGGGATGAGGTTCTCAATTTGACTGTATGTTCTTTTTTGTATATATTACACAATATTTTTGTCAATTTATTTTGATACTAGCTGTGCCCTGCGGTTTCACCCGCGTATAGCACGCGCCTACACCTTGCGACATGTGAACTTCGAGAGAGATATTACGACGGACGGTTGCTGAATTAACAAAGATTTAAAAAGTGAAATATGTTACTAAATTACATGGTTAATTTTTCAAATCCGTCCAGTAGTTTCGGAGCCTATTCAATTCAAACAAACATAAATTTAGTAATTAGTAATTAACATAAACATACAACTTAATAACAACAAACAAACAAATCTTCCTTCTTTATAATATTAGTGTAGATTAAATAGACTAATTCAGCAATAGTTCCTATAAGTTTGAAGAGAAAACTTCACCCCTAAGGGTGGAATAAAAAGGGTGGAATAAAATAAGGGTGGAAAATTTTTAAGGTGACTATTATTTAGACTATATTTAAGTTTGTGATAGTCCTAAATGCTTAATAAACTACCCTTTTTTTTAGAAAATAGTAGCATTGTTATTAATTAGTGATGTTAATAACATAACATCACTAATACTCTTTTTAACCACTCCTGGTAAGCTTAAAATACTTGTGTTAGGTGTGGTTTACAATAGTAGTGGATTGGTGAATTCGAAGGTCATGGACCTTTTGAGTTCACGGCCTGCACCCTGCCATTAGGCTACTGTCACTTCAAATGTTGCTTGTTACGAAGTTTAATATTGGCATACTCAACTTGCATGTAGTTACATTTAGACTAATTAAAGTACCTATATAGGATTTAAAACATTTGACATCATCAAACAATTTGAATTTTTTTTTTACTACAATACAGCCACTGAGAGAATGGAATTCTGATAGAACATGATCGGAAGGTCAACTTTAAAGTGATGAAGAATTTATTTGCACTACTAAAATTTAGTTAAAATTCGTAACATTACATAACATCAACTTATAATTAACTAAAACAATTTAGTGCTAAATTTAACACTAATATAAAAGAAACCAATATATTTCTACATCCAGACTGCGCTGTGTCAAGGTTACTTGAATTATTTTTATAATGATGTGATATTAAATACTAGGCAATTGAAACATTATCACTTGGTTATACTATAGAACTAGCTCACCAGGCAGACGTTTTACTGCCCTCTCCGACTTTGTCCTATAAAAATCTTTACATTCGCAATAAAAATTTTTGAGGGTCAATTATCAGGATAAAAACTGTCCTATCTCTCAAGTTGGACCAAAATGCACACAGTGTGCAAAATTTCATTGACATCAGTTCAGTAGTTTAGGAGTCCAGTGTGGACAAACAATGTGACACATAATTTTTATACATAAAGATAAGTATATAATTATATGAAATAGAACAGTGTAAGGTTACATATTACTAATTCAATATAATTAGACACCCCAATACTTTTTATCAAACTTATATTACCAAGCATGCATCCTATAAGCAACAGAAAAGTTTTTTTGATAGTCTGTAAACTTAGGACGTAGTGGACGCTTTTATATTTGTTATAATAAATATATATCGCAATTTTATTTTTTTATACTAGATTCACTTTAAAATTGCCTTATTATTTATTAAAGACTCTGTACAAAAACCATGTGTTTACAAAAACACTAGTCTGTCCCTGACTTGAATCTAGTTATTTGGCTACATGGCCTGTAGCCAGTTATTGTAAATAGCAACATGATTTAACATCTATACCTGGGTTCTTTAAACTTTGTCTCATAAGGTGCTGTAATTGTTTCAGACACTTATGTTTTAATTCATATCTTAATTAGCTTATTTTTGATGTAATATTAAATAAATTATTTAATCTGTGGAAACTTAAATTTTAAACCTTAAATAAATAAATAAAAACAATATAAATGTATTATTAAATCCTATATACATAAACAACATTGTTTCAAACTAACCTCACAAACAGGCTGTTAGAGGGCACTCGACGCGTGTTAATCAGGCAGGCATCAACAGTCCTGTGGAAGACCACCAAATAAGACCTTATGGCGATACCGTTATGAATTCCCAGATTAGTATAAAATAATTAATTCCCTAGTTATAACACAGTCAAGGATACTACATTTGGAAATGAGCCAAAAATGTACTGCAACTAAAGCATGCTAAACTGAAAATCATCTATGCAAGTAGCGAGTTAGCGACCGCCGATCTAGATCACAGATTAGTCAAATAACATATTATATACCAAACATCCTCACAGGAATTTGAATTAGTTTAACGAAACAGTCAATGGATTATTATGCAGGTGCCAAAAAAGTTGAAAAAATATGTTTGTTAACAGATAAAATACTTACAAAACTTCTTCCTCTTAGGGGCATTTCACTCACAAACACAAAAATCACACAGTGCAGACACTTAAATTTATATTTAAGATTTTTGAACACTTATGTCACTCCACTTGTACAATTTGCAAACAATTTCATACGTCTTCAAGTAGAATTGACAGTACACTGCGCTATTCTAGAACAATCAACTTTCATTCCGTTCAACGCATCACTTTCACATATTATTTTTTATAGATATATCCTTGTCCACAAAATAATTTACACTCATGATTATGATCAAATGCACAAATTTATTACTAGTTAGGTTCCTTTTAGCTAGTAGTGAAACTAGCTTTCTCCCGTAAATAAGCAAATAACTATAGGCCGGCAACACAGAGGCATTTAGCGTGTATAGGATTACCCTTTAATTGTCTCCATAGATTTGATGTGATGTGGACAAACAAGCAGGGCCGATTTCAATTTCCTGAATTGTTCCCTAAGCGCCTTCCTAGCTGCCTAGTTCCATCCTGCCGCCCGCCGCCTACAAATCGCGTGTGTAGCGTGATAGGGGCAATTTTTTCATCACAGTTTCGTCAATTGTTGTGCAGAGTGGGCCTTAAATTACATATATAAAACTTTCCCGAAAGGTTCATGAAACAGATATTACTTTAAACATTTAAAAATCATACATTTTGAGACTACATTTCAACGATGCTAATTACCCATATAAGTTGAACAACTCATTTCTACATGAATCCCAAATCCATATGCCTCATCTACTCGGTACTTGCGAAGTTACCTCGATTATGCCTCCTCTACACTAGCAGCGAAGTTAGCTCGATGAAGTGCTCGTCAAAGTCAACCGCAGTCCGAAGAACGTGACTACACACTCGTGAAACTTCGCGAAGAGCTCAGTCGGCTTGAGTCGCCCTGCAATCTTAACATGAATAACGTTAAAGAAGCAGCTACTATAGGCTCCTAATTGTGTGAACAGTACGATGTCTATGCATGTCTATGACTTAAAAATTTGTAGAGAAATCAACTCAGCTACTGATGTTGTGCTTCTTCAAGAGGATGTTGATAGTCTAGCAATCTGGGTCGATCAAAACCAAATGGAACTAAATGTTGATAAATGTAATTTTATTACATTCTCACGGCACAGGTTGCAAGCATCACCTTCGTACCACATCAATGGAAAACAACTTAAAGAGGTAGATTCTATCCGGGACCTAGGCGTTATTTTGGATAAAAAACTTCGATTTCACAAACACATTGAAGACATAACACATTTCATTTCAACAACAACATTCAAAATGCTAGGTTTCGTAATTCATAACTGTAAAGAGCTAAAACTAGCCACTAAAACTTTATTATATAACGCATATATTCGGTCGATTTTGAAGTATTGTAGCCCGGTTTGGTCACCACACTACGAAGTATATGTTAAGCGACTAGAACGTGTGCAGAAAAGATTTTTATGGAATGTCTCATTTCAATCCGGTCTAGCTAAGCAGTTGCCTTCGTACGTTGATAGACTTTCAAAATTCAAAATGAAAAGCTTTAAAAATAGGAGGCTTTTATTAGATCATTTGTTTTTATATAAAATTGTAAGAGGTGGTCTGGATTGCCCTGGACTGTTGGAACAGGTTCGGTTTAATATACCCTATAAAATCTCGCGAAAAGGGAAATACACACCATTTTCTACCAAGGGATCCAAAAGCAATCTCGGCCATCACGCGATCATGAACAGGCTGCAACGACAATACAATGAACTCCAGAAAAAACGGACGTAGACATTTTTTCAAATAGCCTCTCTAAATTCAAAAAGTTAGTTCTAGGTGCAAGTTTGAGTACGGAATAATTTTTGATTAGTTTAGATTTTTTTTTGTTTTTTTTATATTTTATTACTTTTTAATATACATTAAACACTCACATTTGCATGTCGTGGCAGCCTGTAATTGAATCTGCACTTAGCTTAAATCTTAGATGATAGCTTAAGAATTTAATGTTTTTGGTGTAAGATTTGTTGGCTGTCCTTAATAAATTAATAAATAAATAAACTATAGATAAATAAATATGTAGCAAGCTACATATTTAATATTTATATACAGAATGGGATCCCATATATATTTAATAAATGAAACCACATACTTGTTATCGCCTTTGCTGATGATATACTTACAAAAAATGAACGTAATCGGTCCAGTAATTAGGTAAAAAAGTAGAGTTTTAATTTTAAGCAAATTTGAACTCTCTATAGAATTGGGTCACTAAGTCAATGATTCAATGAACTTGAATCCTTGAACATTAAAAAGCGACATTGCCACGCAGTGTAAACTATTGCAACGTTTCGACAGCAGTGTCTTTTGGCGGCGTCCTTAAACAAGCGGCACGAGGCACGCGGCGTTCTTCAAAGGCAACGGAGCAAGTGCACACGCGCCTGTGTCGTAGAGTAGGACACCTGTTATCGACCATTATCTTCCATGATTTTTTAAATTGTCGTGTTGTTATGATAATTCTAAAGATACTACGACCTAAGTATTTAAAGCTAAATTTTAGAGCTTTTTTGTAAGAGTGTTTTCCTGTAGATTTAGAGATAATAAATTATTTTGACATGATAAAAAAACCCATAAAAACAACCAATTAAAAAAGTCATACTTACTTACCCGTTTCCTAGGAGGTCACAAAACGGTAGTTTCGTAAGGTCAATTGTACAAAAATAAACTTTTTTTAACAATCAATAACTTGTCGATTGTTATCAAATAGAAATCAAAACTACTTGTATTCAAATGTAGTAGATAAGTAAGTGTAAAAAGAAAAGGATCGATAAACGATAATTGCACCTTGTGGGCACAAGCCCTATTTATTACTTTTATAATTTTCGCCATTTTGAAATTTTTAGTTCACCGCAATTCTTCCAGAATACGGGTGCGTTTCGCTGCTTACACGCATTGATTCAAGTAATATATTTTTCGTAAGATAAATACAATTATTCAAACAATTTTTTTTACGGTGAAATAGACACTTATTAGGTAATTGACTTTGTGCGTGTAAATAGTCTTTTTAAGTACGTTATTTTTATTATTTTTTCACTGTGATATTGACACTACTTAACTTTTGTGTGTACGTGTTTGTTACGGACGGCGACGGGAGCCGCCGCCCCGTCGCCCCGTCACCCCTTCATACCCCGTTACGCCCCGCACACCCCGCACACCGCCCGAATATCCAGTGATGCCGCCGACCAATCAGCATGCAGCACACCTCTTAAGACCACGCTCGTGCCGAGACACCCTCCACAGGAATATAAGAAGGGCGTTTTGGGCTCCGAGTCATTCAATTCGACAGCGGCACTCAAGAAAGAAGCATCAAGAAAGAAGAATCAAGAAAATTAGTCAAGACTCCATATAAGACTCCCCTCTTGTGTATATAGTTATAGTCAACTGCCGCTTGTAAATAGTTAAATGTGTATGTACCCCCTTTCCTTTTAAATAAATGTCCCTAGTAGTATTTCTCCCATTATAAACACACAAATAAAGTAAAATCACATACAGTCTACAGCAGTCCCCTATAATTTTGGTCCTTCGAGCCGGATAGAAGCCAATGGATTGAAGCTGGAAGATTGAAGCCAGAAGACCGAAGCTGGAAGATCCGAAGACAGAAGACCATACAGAAGAGAGAAGATTGTTATAGAAGATCATCGACGAAGAAAGAAGATCGTCGGTTAATCAATTATATCTAACGATACTACGTCTACGTTTACGTTATTTATCTATACGACAAATTTCTCGTTTCTTAACCGCGTTTACGCAGCCAGGTGATTAGAATAGAATAGAATAGAATAATTTTTTATTCAATATAGATCACATGTGTAATTCTTATTGAGAAGTCATTTTTTACTTTACCACTGGTTCGAAAAAAAACCTCTGTCCTGGGAAAAACCAGCAAGAAACCCAGCGGGACTTAAAGAGATTACTCCTTAACGGTGCCAAACTGTAATCTCCTGGTAACGCCACTTGTGGCGGTAACAGCAACCAACACGTGCGTCTTTTTGAGGCAGAAGACTAGGAACGACGACGAAACGCCGGTAGGAATGCGGATTTTCGAAGAAGCTCCCGCGTCTCCGTCCGGATATCGTGAACACGCGCGCCCTCCGCCGCGCCCCCACCGACGCCCGCATCTATGCCCGCGCCAGCGCCGCGATGGACCTGGATGACCGGTGGAAGTGGATGAAGGAAGATGGGGTGTGCTTTAGGTGTCTAAGCAGCAAGCATCGACGCCTGAGGTGTAAAGCCAAGAAGTGCGATGTCAACGTCTGCAGCGCCCTTATAATTATGTAAAAAAATTGAAAGTAAAATATGACCAACTTTTAGGTTCTCGATGGAGCAGAAATTTTGCATATACGTTAAGTTTAGATGAAAATAAGTGACCTCATTCTAAATACAATATGGCGGACTCCCAAAGATAGAGGACTAGTTATTTTTTGTGCATTCCAATGATATGGATATCAAATAAAAGGCTTTGCTGAGAAGAATACCAAAAATAAAAGTGAAGCGTGTTTTTTTCTTAAACTCCCTGACTTAAATTAAACGTTTTCAAATGTTTTTAAGGAATAATTTATATTAACTTAAATCTTACTATAGAAACTTGTGATGTATAGTGTCAAACTTACAGAAGGTACAATCAAGAAATATATTTATTATGCGACTCGTAAACAATAAATATAGGGTTTAATATTTATTAGGCCTTTGTAAGTTTAAGCTGAACATTACAGTTTTTTTAACTGAGCTTCGGTAATCAATTCGTTCATTTATGTAATTTGATATAATTATATACTTAATTCAAGTAATAAGATTAAATGAAGAAAACAAATATTAGGTAAGCTGGTAACATTAAGTACGCCATCAGTCGCGCGCAGAGTTATCTTGCGCGCACTTTAGTTTTTCCCCTATATTACTGTTACAGCCTCTTAAAGTCCACTGCTGAATATAGACATCCCCCATAGATTAGTGACCACAGTTTTTATTTTTACTCGTTATTAAGAAGCCGCTACTGCTCATCTCCTGTGTTGTTTCCCTCTCTCGCCTCTTACGACACCTATGGTATGATATGGTGTAGTGAATATTCTTATGCCGCCACTACACAGTAGGCACGTCTATGACAAAAACATTTTTCTTCAA